TTTTTAAACAGCCAATGTAATTTTTTATAAAATTTTAACTTTTCGAACAAATCAAAGAGGAATGAGTACTTGTATATGCATAGATTTTGTTGGGACTAAAACTACCAAAACAAAGGCACCTATTTACACCAGTTTAAAATGAAACATTTTGACAAAAACGCCTATGTCACAGTGATAAATATTAAAAACAACCAAGTTCAGTTGAATGTGGTAGCAAAGTCTATATATTCCAATAAATCGGGTAACTACATGTGGTATCACTGGTGATAAATTTAAAAATATCACAATTCTTGCTACCTTTTTCAAAAAACCAGAAAGTGTGCCTTCTTATCAATCCTTTATGAAAATGACAACAGTGATAAATGTAAAAAAAAAAATTAATGTTGCTATTCGTTATTACGATAGTAAAACATGTTTGCAGTTCCGTTTATTTTTTATGAAAATCTAAGTAAAAACAACCAATGTCAAAGGGTTATAATTTTTTTTCTGTTGAACCAAATATATCACAAAATTTAAAAATTGATCATAGGTCAAGCAAGTAATACCTTTATTGATAGTAGCTTTAAAAAAGGAGAAAGAATAATATTGACTTAAATTATTATTATTAACATTGGTGATTTTTAATAAAAACTCTTCAATTATTGTTTACAAACAAAAATATAAAAATCTGTGAAAATTTTATTTATTAATCTTTTAATAAAAAATGAAGTAAAAAACAATTTATTTACAAATAAAAAATATATATACAAATCCTAAGAATATAAAAGTACTGATTTATTTTCCTGTAGTGGATGAAGAGGTTTCTTTAACAATCTAGCCAAGTGTAGATCAATATTTACGCATTTTGATAAATTAGAGCCTTTCCAATAACACTGAATAGATGTTACAGATGGTTCCTCACTTCTTCTATGAAGCCAAATATTTACAACCAACTGAAAAAAATAAAAGGGTTAGATATGCAGTTACAAAATAACTATATAACCAGCTACAAAATGCCTTTATTTTATGTAACAAGACGAGCAGAGCTTTACTAGCTCTGAACGAATCCAGTAAAGAACCTCGGATTTTCAAAACTTAAAAAAAAACAATCTCACCACATTTTCACATTTTTGAAATATTATAGAGCTTTTCGAAAAAAACTGCTATTTTTAAAAATACAATTTGTTTAAACAGCTATGTCTCATTTTAGGCTATTGAGTATTATAAAATAAAAAATTACGGGATGCTTTGTTAGCTTCAAACGAATCCAGCAGAGCACCCCAGTTTTTTTTTAAACCACACCACGTTTTTTGGCTCCTACAATATTATAAAATATTCGAAATTTGGCATTTTAAAAAAAATTCGCAATTCCTTGCTGACTTCAAAGTTTTTTTCTGAAAACAAATGTACTTACCACATTTTTAGGATTTTAAAACAGCCTAAACATGTGTCATAAGTAGTTGTTTTTATATATATATAAAAAAAAAAAAAAATAAAAAACTGAAGTGTCCTGCTGACTTTGTTCCAACAAAGCACCCTGTATTATTTAAAAATAGCAATTTTTTTAGTAAAGTTTTACAATATTTCAAGAGTCTAAAAATGGGGTGTGGTTTTTAGAAAAAAGCTTTAAAAAACCGAATTGCTCTGCTGGCTTCTTTCGAAGGTTAGCAAGCATCATGTATTTTTAAAAATATAATATTTCAAGTGCATAAATATATGGTGTTGCTGTTTTTACAGAAAAAACTTTATAAAATAGAGGTGCTTTGCTGACTTTGTTCGAAGCTATAGAGCATTTTAAGTTTTGCAAAAAACGAGGAGCATAAAATTTTTGAAAAGGGTATAAAAATAGCCTAAAAATATGGCATATTTTTTAACTCAAAATTTCATAGGTGCTCTGCAGCATTCTTTGGTATCATAATTATTACTAGGTTCACTAACAAAATCTGTTTCTAGATTATTTTAACACTTGCTGCGATTACAAAAAATGTCTATATGTCAAAATTAGAAAAAAAATATTTATAGGAATAAAGGGCCTTATACACTGTTTATTATATGTAATATAAAAACAAAAAAGCATAATAAATATTACAAACCTTGACATGCAGCATATCCTAAGCATATTGTGCACTAAAAATTTCATTTTTGTTAATTACAATGCAACCACATCAGAAGGTTTTTGCCGTACTTTATGTTTAGGTGTAATTTGTCTCCTTCTCTCTTATGGAAAAAGAAATTATCCCCATATTCTTGCTTGGCAGATCTAAAAATAAAACCTGAGATAAATATGTTTTACTTGCTCCATATAAACTGTAACTACCTACTATTAAAACAAAGTCTTACCTTTGTGACTTTTGTAAACTGAGTATTGTTAAAAAATGCAGTAATCATCTCGGTAATCATATTTTCGTTTACAATGGGTAAAACACTTGATTCAACTTTTATAAATCCAGCTGATTCATATTAATAATAAAATTAAACCAAAACAAAAAACTAAGGTTAGATGTTACTGATGTTAGGTGGTGTCAATTTTAATGTCACTTAGATGTGCGTTCACGTCGACATTCTGTGTGTTGGTTTGTTCGTTGGCTTGGTTTTGTATAACAAAAAAAACTTCGACACAAGATGATTGGTCTATTCCCGATGACGTATAATTTCAAATTTTAAATTTCAATTGGGCTTAATTTAAAAACTTTTGGCTTTTTTAACGAACTGACTATTTAGAATAACTTGTATAGCGACTAACTATTACAATATAATTTATAAAACAGCATATCTCACATGTGAACATGGCCCATTGTATTTATAGATATGACTGTTTTGTTTCTTTTTAATTTTTTTGAAGTTATAATTTTTTAAAATTTACCCAGTTTTTGTTAATAGTAAAATAATTGTCACATTGTTATCTTACATTTTACTCTGCAATAATTTTGTGTTTGTTTATTGTGAATATGATGTTTAATATAATGTAATGACATAGTTACCTATTCTAAATAAAATAAACTTATTACAAATGTTTTTATTTTTAATTTAAAACAAGTGACATTTTCCGTTTTTCAGCATTTACTTACAATAAAAATTCATTTTACTTATTGATTGTTTCAATTATTGTAAGTAAAAGCTGTAAAATAGAAAATGTTAATTGAAATTGCTTCAATCTCATAAATTTTGAAGCCCGCTATTTTTTAAATCGCTTTACTTAGTAGTTTTCTTCTTTACTGACTGTACCGAATTATCGTTCATCATAACGCGCTCAGCGCGCTACTGTCGAGGTCAAACAAACTTGTTACCAACTATTTACAGGGGAAACGGCTACCCTGGTGTGTGCTATAGCATAAAAATAAACTAAAATATAAATTTTCAAAACATGTGAGGATAAAAGAAAAAAAACTTTTTATTCCAATGTGGGGTGGAGGCGTATCGGTCAATTTATAAAATCTCCTTAAATAAATCTAAGTTTACAGTAACATATTGTTTAGCTTTAAGTCGAAATATATGTAATTTGGTTATATTTTTTGTTTATCGGTAGTTTTGGGAGCAACTGTGGTTACAAATCGTTGACTGGCGTCACGTTGTCACTGTTCCATTATTATGTGTCTTCAATAAGGAGTTTATATAAACTAAAAACTTTTACTTCTTCTGGGTCACTTAGCGTAGTCATTTTAACTATTTGTTTTCTTTGAAGTAGATAATTCTTTAGAAGTTTTAACACAATACCTCTCACTCCATATTGTTCTAGAACATTTAAGAGTGTATCATGAGGTACTGTATCAAAGGCTTTTGCCAGATCAAGAAATACTGCTACACATTTATTACCTTTGTCTAGGTTAATTTTAATTTGATTTACCAGTTCAAACATTGTATCACAAGTGCTCGTGTTTTGTTTAACCCCGTATTTATTTTCACTTAGTATCATGTCATTTTTTATTAGATCATTCAATCTTACTTTTAAACATTTTTGCTGAGGTATTTATAAGACTAATGGGTCTATAATTTGTTATATGGTTTTTGTTTCCATTTTTGTATATCAGATAAATTATTGATGTTTTCAGTTGTTCTGGAATTTCTCCACTTTGAAATATTAAATTAATAATGTGAACAAGGAGTGTTAAAATAGAGTTGTGATTTGTTTTTATTAATTTAGATGTTATCTGATCAATAGTGTCTAAGTATTATATAAATTAATTATTACGTTATAAATAAATTGTAAATAAAGTGTTTTAAATAAATAAACTATAAACAAATTAAACAAACGTTACAATATGGTGATCCATTTAGAATGTTTTCTTTTCTGATGAGTGTACCTTTACACTTCACGGTCATGCTAATCGCCAAAATTGCCTCTATTGGAGAGGAACATATGCAATGCCCTGAAAAGGTTAATGTTTGGACAGGAATTGTTGGCGATTATCACAGGCCCGTTTTTGATTGATGGCAATTTAAATGGCGATAATTATTTAGCACTGCTCCAAAATAATGACGTGCCAACTTTAACGAACTTATACCCCGATCCAGCAAACCCACAAGTTCCAGCGAATATGATGTGGTTTCAGCAAGATGGAGCATCGCCCCATTACAAAATCAGTGTCCGGTAGTACCTCAATCGAGTATTTCCAATAAGTGGATAGGGAGGCAAGGATCGATGGAATGGCCAGCACGATCCCCTGATCTGCCATCATTAGACTTTTTATGGGGATATGTCAAAAGTATTGTATACAGAACTAAACCGCTCGTCCTAGCTGACTTAAGAAGTAACTTAACGCTTGCGACTAGATCGGTTACGCCTGAGATGTTGAGTAACGTTAGAAGACATTTTTATTTCAGATTAGGATTTTGCCAAGAGGTCCGCGGCGAGATATTGAGATGTGTTTATATAAGGTGTTTGTTAAAAAAAATGCGCAACTAAAAATACCAATCGAAGTGTCCGAAGCGTATTTCCGAAAACGCCCCCATTTATTTATTACGGAATTTATTCCATTTGGCTGTTCCACACTGTATAATGTAAAAAAATATTGCTCACATACACTTTCCACAGGTTTTTCCCAATTCATGGCGTTCATCTTAAGGTTCTGAAAGATCTGAAAGTTTTGAAAGTTTTCGGTGCCTTGCGCGTTTTTCAGTTCTTGGTCGATGGCATAAGTATCTATGGGTCTGTGTCTTATGTCACTATCGAATGCGTGACTAGACTGCGTATTGGAGCTCGAACTAGGACTTTGGTTTCCAATACTCAAACTGAAAAAAAAAAAAAAAAGGAATTTGTTTTTAATATTTTTCTGAACTTGCTCTACTAATCAAAAATCCAAGAATTAAATAATGTTTCAACCAATGACGAACCAACTATTATACCAATCTTTTCTTTCATAAGTACTTTTTTATTTGCAAGTATTCAGGTTCATATATTACGTAATGTTTTTAAACATGGAGAGAGACAAAATAGTTGTCAACATAGTGCAGTTTTATAAAGGGTATATTTTTAAAATCAGCTCATCGGGACCTTTCCAGAGGTATACTATACCATGTTTAGTAATATTGCAATAAAAGTTGACCAAAAAAAAGTATAACACAATGTTCAATAAACTTAAGAGTTGAACAACTCCATGTGCACATAATGTTTTTAACTCTCACATTGGTCGTATTATTTATAGAGGCATGTTGTGGGTATATGACACTATGTTATGAAATATCTTACAAAAACCAACAATTCATGTATATTAAAAAAACTTTAATTAGTTAGATTAATAATACTCAAACAATATATATTGTGACAATAATTGAGGCTAACTACATTTCTTGTCAAAATATAATTAATATAATGTAATTATGGAACACAAAAAGTGTCTAAACAATATTCAGTCTGCTCTACTGAAAAGTTGAATAGAATGACATACCTCCAATGTACTAATATGCCCATTAAATAATTTTTAAAACTATGACAATCATTCTTTTATTGTACCTATCTTTTTAGTCTATTATGTGGGACTGTTCTTATAAAATAAACATTTTAGTTCACTTGTTTTACTTGCCAATAAAAGGTATTTAAAAAATTTATTATTTTATTTGACATGTGTGACAAATTGTGAAAATGATTAAATTTTCAATAAAAACTGAAAAATGGTAGATAAAATTTCATATAATATTGTTACACAAAAATCAATGAAGCTTTCTGCATAATCTGATATTATTATTATTATTATAATTTGATAAGAGCAGGGGCCATAAGACCCATAAGCCCATATTAACTGAATATAAAACAATATTACTAAAAACTAAATCAATAACAGGTACAACCGATGAATAAACAATGAAACAAATGAAATGTTAATTAAAAAATAGAAAATTATCAAGTTCGTTCTTGAAAACATTGACAGATGGAGCATTTACAACATTCTCCGGTAGAGAATTCCAAGTGTGGAATATTCGATTAAATAAAAAATTTTGCCTCGTTTTCGTAAAAAATTGTTCTTTTTTTAGCTTCCATTTATGGCCTCGTAGTCGATTTTCACTGTCCACGATGAACATACATTTTAAATTTCCAAAATTATATTTTAAAATACGAAAACAAATTATCATGTCACCCCGCAGACGGCGATTTTCAAACGTTTGTAGTTCAGCCATATGTAGTCTCTCTGCGTAATTAGGTCTCATACGTCCGAAAAATAGTCTGGTTGATCGGCGCTGAACATTTTCAAGAATATTTTTATCCCGCACTAGTTCCGGACACCACACAACTCCGCAGTACTCGATAATCGGACGAATGTATAATTTATACAGACGGATAGAATTTTGAAAAGACACTTTTGCGAATGTTTTCTTTAATAAGTACATTTTCGTGTTCGCCTTTTTTGACACTTGAAGAACGTGCTCAGACCAGCTGAGATTTTCAGTAATTATAACACCTAGATCATTGTAAGATTTAACTTTATTTAACGTATGACCGTTTAGAAAATAATTATGACGAGGATTATTTTTACCAATATGGAGAACTACACTTTTATTTGTATTTAGAGGTACCATCCAATCTGAGCACCAGTTATAGATGGAGTCAAGGTCATCTTGAAGCTGTTGGAAGTTCAGAGACGGGTCACTAAATATTTTAGTGTCATCTGCGTAAAAAATATTGTTGCACTTGATATGGAATTGAAGGTCACTGGCATATATTATAAATAAGAGTGGACCCAGAACTGATCCCTGAGGAACCCCACTCAAGACTGGTCTTTCAAATGAATGCGAATTTCCAACTTTAACACAGTACTTTCTATCAGTTAAGAATGACTCGATCCATTTAAGTAAATCACCACGTATACCAAGGTGTTCTAACTTATGTAGTAATCTTCGTTTCGGCACACGATCAAAAGCTTTCGCAAAATCCAGGTAAATAATGTCTATAGGTTTTTTCCTGTCTAATGAAACTGTCCACTCATTTACACACCAAAGCAAATTGGTCATGGTTGATCGCCCTTTTACAAATCCATGTTGCTGTTTGGGAATGATTTCTTCCGCTAAGAGAAACTGAGAAACGTGCTCTGTTATTATGGATTCCATAACTTTACAGATTATGGGTGTGAGGCTGATTGGGCGGTAGTTATTAGAGTCTAGTTTGTTTCCTTTCTTGAAAATGGGTGTTACAGAAGCTGTTTTCCAGAGAGAGGGTAATGTGTGTGTATTAAAAGACAAAGACATTATAATAGATAAAGGAACTGATATGGTATTAGAGCATTGTTTTAAAAATAGAGAAGATATTTGATCTAGACCTGGAGAGGAATTGTTTTTTAATTTTAAAAGGTGACGTTTGACAATTTCAGGAGTAAAATTGAGCCGTTCTAAGGAAGAATGGATTCTTTCGGGTGAGATATCTGGTAACTGATCCTGGGGAGGTTCATTGGTGAACACTTTTGTGAAGGTATTAGCTAAAAGTTCAGCCGTTTCGAAATTATTTTGGCAGGGACTTCCATCTTCTTTGTTTAGTAAAGGAATGGATACTTTTGATGACAGCGAAGATCTAATATATTTGTATAATTTTTTACAGTTTTGGCTGCATGCTATTGACTCTTCATATTCTTCTCGGGCCTCATTTATAAATTTCTTTAGGTCCTTGGAAAATTTTTTGTGATATTCTAGATCGACAATACTATTTGACCGCTTATATTTACGCCATAATTTACTTTTATGTCTAATCAAGGATATTAGTTCTCCGTTGATCCACGGTTTTAATTTATTTTTATAAAACACCTTCTTTTTAGAGTATTGCATTTTATGAGTAGCAATAAAAATTGCGAACTTATTCCATACTTCTTCCAGATCTCCCGAGTCCCCCAATGTTTCTATCCAGTCGATGGTAGATAAATGACGATTTAAGTTATCGAAATCGATGATTTCGTAAGATGAAGTATGATCTTTGTGAGATGGGTTCTCTATGTTAAACTGTATACGACTTATGATAACTGCATGATCCGATATTCCTATCGGAGATTGAATTATAGGGTCAGTTAATAATTGTTTATCATTTACAAATAACAAATCTAGCGTGGAAGGAATATTGTTAACTCGGAATCGTGTTGGATCTGTTATAAGTTGTTGTAAATTAGAGCTTACAACAAAGTTCAAAAATTTATTTTTTGAATTTACAACATCACTTGGAATGAGAGTAACTGGCCACGAAATATCTCGGAAATTGAAATCACCAATAATAATGACATTTTCTAGTGAAGACAGATATTCAAGTTTTTCAATAAGGATTGTATCTTCAGCTAGTTGAGAGTCTCTGGGACGATAAATACAGACTAAATGAAGAGTAATAGAGCTAGAATAAATTTTTAAACCTAATAATTCCATATTAGGGACACTAATGTCAAGAGGAGTAACAAAAAAATGTTGTGTAATATCTGATGATAAATAAATACAGACACCTCCACCGCGACGGTCTCTTCGATCGCATCTGTATAGAGAATAATTCAAAATATCATACATAGAATCAGAATCATTATAAGTTAACCATGTTTCTGTGATAAGAATGATCTTCGGTTTTAAATTTTGTACAGAGCATAATAATTCATTAAATTTAGAGTTGAGGGTTGCCAAGTTCGTATATAAAAATAGCCAGTCGTAAAAACAAAATTTATCGAGATTATTGACGAAATTTCACGATCTTTAGGACACCATGTATATATTTTATAGTTAAGTCCTGCTCTCCATTATTTTTCTTTAACTCAAGTTCGGTCCTTAATTCTTTTAGGCATTCAATTTGATTGGGCGTTTTATCATCGATAATAGTTATTTTTTTAGTGGAGGCTTTTTCTAGAAGTTTCTTTATGTTCGAAAATAATCTCACAATATGAAGAAAAGTCAGCTGACTATAACTAATAATGTTTATAGATGGTTTTCAACACATTAAAGCAAAATAAATATTACAATAACTAAAATGTTCACTTTTTAACATAATGAAACACCAATCATTCTTTCTTCTTCAATGTAAATCATGTGTTTGTGTCCACACTCCCCTAATCTACAGGTCACTGTGTCATTGATCCAACATTGCCATATTTAGTAATTTCTACTTTTTTTTGTAAATTTCAGCCTTTTTTGCTGGTTTTAGTAGATTTTTTTTTGATAAGTGTATCTTATGACACCAAAAACGTTTGCCGAATTTAGTGAAATTAAACTGAGTAATAAAAAAATTGTGTATTTCGGAAACGAGTAACGTTTTATCTAAGTATGTTTACTTTAATCGGCTTATTTCTAATAAGATAATCTTCAATTGCTCTATGTCCCATTCTTAATGGAATACCCTATATATACCGAAAGGTCTTAATGCCAAAGAACCAAATAAAAAAATTAATAAAACAGTGTTTTTATTACCTTATTTAACCATAATACTTTTTTAGATCTGCAGCAGTAAAAATTATATTAAAAAAATTTAATCTCATATTTATATGTCTACGTAAGTTGGCGACAAATGGAAAATTTTTGTATAAATTTTAGGGAAAAAAATTTATTTTTCATAAACAGTTGTACATGGTCTAAAACCTAAAATATTGTTACGCAGCACCCTGCGGCTATTACAGGAAACGTACAGATAGAAAAAGAAGTGGAATGTTACTCATCGCCCTACAGTGTGCTGCGGTCGTCATAAGTAAAAGTACAAGTAAAAGAAGATAGAATAGTTCATAAATGCCATTACCCGTCAAGAATATTCTAGACGACACTTCTAGAAGGTTCGAGAAGGGTCAAGCAAG